TTTTTGTCTGTGCCCTCGCCTATGTGCTCAGTTCTCCTGAATTGTGAAGGAATATCTGTCCCTTTGTCTCTGAATTGCGAGGCTGTATTGTATGTGGTCTAGGTGACATTCCATGATTCAGTGCCGGTAGGCAAAGGTTAAGTTTGGACACGTGCAAAAACGCGACTAAATATCTTGTTTTTTTATTTATTTAACTTGTAAAAACTTTATATAAGACTATATCTTTGAAATGTGTCAGAGAAAATCATTCGCGGAAAGAAAATCTCTCAAGGAGATCGAAGGTCGGCAGCATACACTCCATCAGTTTAGTGTATCTCGATTGCAGAAAACCACGCATGGTTTAGAGTTACATATTGAACTTTGCTCTTTGAATGTACGGAACCTTTAATCAGGCCTGATGTTCGTGTGGCGCTTGACAGACTTTTGTTTTGAGAAATGATATATCTTCTTCATTGTTAATCGGCTTAAAGGGAATAAATGAGATGACTTAACTTTTTGAAGATAACATTTTGACCCGATTCTATGCGATGAATGTGTAAGACCTACACTATTATTCTTACTGGTGGCCAAATCGCCGAGCCGGAACACACAAAATCTACTTTTTCGAAGTCGTTTTGATTCCTTAGGAAACTTCTCTAAATAGTTATATTGTGTGGTGTTGCTCCAACTCTCTGACACTATAATATCAGCAGTCATATTATCCGCAGTTGTTCTCTTTACAGACAGAGCTTGTTTGACAATCGGGAGCTTCTAAAATTGGACATCATTTCTTGTTTTTTCAAGACCTTTAAATTTAATTTAAGGGTAATGCTTTAAGGGACTAAATAGTTTAAGTTTCTTGGNTAATAATGTTTGTTTGCAGGCGAAAAGAGTGATACACCACCTACTATGCGAAGAAACAGTTCAAAGCCAGGTCTCCATCAGTCCAGGGCTACAGGATTCCCAACAGCAACTACTGCCTTAGATGCACAAGGACAGGTCACCCAACTTAAAACAATACTTGGGGTTGTGATTCCTGTGTCCTTTTTCGTTGGCATTGCTTTTGGTATAATCATGTTAGACTGGAAACGACGCCTTTGTTCTTCAAGAGTAGCGGCGTCTTCCAACAGCTCACCGGTTTCAAACAGCGCCAATTTTGAAACTCATCAAGTTACTGAGACCTCACTTGTCTCTCAACCCCTCTAGGATGGAGTTGGATGGGAGGGGAGACAGGAAGAACATTATACGGTCAAGTTTATCTGTGCGAGAGGTAATTGTTTACTTAAGATGTAACATAACCTGGATGATATCGAGAGAAAGCCATATACAGGATGGACGCTTTGTGAGATGACAGAAAAAGGGGTTATGAGAAGAAGACGAAGAAAAAAAAGAAGAAGGAAAAAAAAAGAAAAAAAAACGAGAAGGCAGAAAAGTTATTTAATGATATGTTCAGATAATTGATATGTAGCCTTAAGTATCGTATCACTTGTAGTTACGGACTAAAAAACTAAAATTAAGCCCACATTCACACCAAAGCTTACGCATGTTTTCAAGCTGTTTTGTTAAACTTACCCTGTTAAACATTTGGTTATTAAACATATTTTGTTGGAGTGAATGGGGGTATTGTCATAACTGGTTACTAACTTTATACTTTCACTTTGATGTGAACTGTGATCAAGCATTTGTTGATATGCATACAGTTTCAGTGACTCATCATTACCGATGTTAATCTGAGCGATTTCTTTATAAAAGAAAACGTTGTGTCAAGTCAATATATTGAAAAGAAAAGTCATTTCGAACTCACTGTTGTTGTTCCGTAGTCAGCAAGTTTCAATACTCCATTTCAYTTTTTTACGAAAGTCAACAACAATTGGCTATAAATAAAGGAGACATTTGGGGATAAGAGATGCGTTTAGATTTACCAGGTGTCCCAGTAGAAAACGGCCGCTAAATTCACCAATTACGCGCGTGTCGTGACTAGAGGAACTAACTAGTTTAAATTCATACTGCGCCCCTTTTTAGGGAGGAAATTTTTTGGTTTTTGGTAATAAAAATAGGGACCATAGGCAAATCACCTCGTCAACGGCAAAGAGGAAGTGATGAAACAAGATTTAATTAGCAGAACAACTGCCTTGCACGTAGGGGATTGCGCGGGGCACAACCTTGTTCATTTATTACGAGACGTCCTCTGCAAAAGAACAAAGTATGGTCACAAAGTTTGAAGTAGTTTTAGGCCGGAAACGACGACGGGAAAACGTTCACGTCCTTGGAGACGGTAAACTTATCAAACCATTTGCGTAGTTCCTAAGAAAAATTTCAGTTGATTTTACTGTCGACGTTTAGTTAGCATCACACTCATGCGTAAATTAGAACTGATCTGAAGCACACCACGTAAATTTCGTCAAAATCCATATTTTAAAACATTATCGGGAATATTGTGTTCTTTCTACTTGTTTTTCTTTTAACCATGGGTAGTGTAAGTCAAGCCTGCGTCCGCGGTTTAATCAGAGGTCATTTCTACGCCAAAATATCCGTCACGAAACACATGACCCGTATGTTTGGTATGAGATTCAATAGACTTTTTTTTTCGCATTTCTAAGTACATTATGCCATTGACGAAGACGCCATCGGAAAACTTTCACTTTCGACTTGCTTTCAAAGCCTAGAGGCAAGTTTAACTCGTACGCTGCGTATTTGTGATCATTGTTGAACGTATGACTTCTAATGCGAACTATACGAGATACGAGAAGAAATACACCGTTACTTCATGGCATATGGCATGGCTGATGTATTCTTCGGTAAGTACGTTCTGCAACTTGTTTATTTTCTGTGAATCTTTCAAAGTCTCGTGGATCTGTTGAGCCTTCCCGAAGGAAATCAAACTGAGGAGTTTCTCTTCTCAAAAGACTTGCACCTTATTAAGAGAGAGAGGTCTCTGGCGTAATCGATTGATGACAGGGTTGTTTAAATTCATTCTTATGCTCGAGGGTCATGAAACGAGTCATGACAGCTTATATGTTATATGCTTCTGGTCTGGCTGGTTTTCTGCTGATATCGTGGATTTTTTCAGCAGCTTTTGCTCGTGCAACTATGGAATCGTCCCTATAAACTACAATTATCACTTTGGTGACTTAGGACTTTTACCTGCAGTAATGCTTCATCATGACAACAGAGAACTAGGGACAGCATTGAATTGTTCAGTTATGGTCGGACTCATATGCAATCTTA